AATTCTCTCTCTTTTTATGCTTAATAGGAATTATTTTCTTATGGGATGAGCAACTAGTATGTAATGAAACACCTTCATTTGAAATCCTTTTAAAATCCTTGCTTCTTATTCAGTTCCCATGTGTTGGTAAAAGCACTGGAACCAAGCCTGTTATACTCAACACCAGCAGTGTCAGCTTACAAGAATACAGAGCGGATGCGCAATAGGCCACCTCAGACTGGCTTCACTTAAGTCAAAAGGATAAGGTAGAATGCCCCAAAATCAGCATCTGCTACAACTAACAGAACAGAGAAACCAACAGCATGCTCTGGTACTGATAAAGGCTATATGAGGGTTTCCCCTGTACTCTGAAGTAAATAAATTAATCAGTTTTCTTGTGCAGAAAGCATGCAGTGAAATACAGACTTCTTCCCCTTCCTCCATCAGCTCAGTTACTAACAACCAATTTCTTGACTGGGGAAAAGCAGTAAACATGATCAGTTTTGATATGCGCTGCACCAAGCATCACTAGGAATCAGAAAGAGGCTACTAGACACTGGGATACTATCTTGATGTGTAGAGTATCTAGCACTTAAATCACAGGGTTAAGAGTACCCTCTCTGTAATTATCAGATAGCAAATGATAGACTGCAGCTTTTCTCTCTAATGTAACTAATGTCGATCATAATATCTAAGATACCGTGTCTTCATAATTGGTTGGAAATCTCTGAATAAAGACAAGAGGAGATTAATTGGGAATTCCTTCTAAAAATAATTTCTAGACAGCAATTTAGAAGCCATCACTGTATAACAAGTGAAGACTATAGAGAAAAGCTACATATACATAGATGGAAGCTGCTAAAGAGAATATATTAGACCTATATTTAATTTAAATTCTGGAGTACAGGAGATCAGAAGGCAAAAAAAACCTAGGAAGCTGAAAGTTTCAGAATAATTAGTTGGTGCAAGTCAGTACAACTAACTACAAACCAACTTGTTAACCCAGCAAGTTACTAAGGTTAGGGCACACAAGGTGTCCTGTGACCCACCAGGTCCAAGCAGAGCTAACCTAAGACTGCAATAATTTAAATTGGTTTTGACATTCATCCTAATTATCAGAGCGTTACGATTTGATCTGACTGCTATCCCACCTCCACTAACTACATGAGGTGGAAATTCAGAGAGATAGAGAAATACGCCTGTACTAGCTACCTCAGCACACTTTCTAACCTAATATTTTATATTAAGGTAAGTGCTACTAAAACTGTAAACTCATACTTTCATTGTCATGGCTGGTGCCATTTACACGTATTCCTTTAATATCATCAGATGAGCAAACAATGCAAACATTGGTAGGTACATTTGAAATGCTAATATATTTCAGTGAGCTACCTATTTTTATATTCTGCAGCCAACACAGGAAGACAACAGAAAATGCTTACCTAAAAAGTTTTGAACAAGGCTCATGGTTATGGATTTCTGCAACAACAAACAAACAAGAAAGAGACATATGTCCAACTGCTTAAGGTGAAGAGCAATTACAGTGGCATACCTTGCGTGAACTTTCCACATCACAGTTACGGAGCAAATAAACATTTGTGTCAGACCACACACTGCCCTTAATGTCTCAACAACACTTGATGACACAGCACCATACCCAGAAAACTAGCTTCTCTTTCTAATCTGCCATTTTACAGAGGCAAATATTTTAACAATAAGACATACACTTGCTCAGACACACACAGATGTATCTGAGCCTCAGATACAGACTTTTGATACTATTTTATGGTTGTAGCCTCCTCACAACCTCCTCCCCCTTTTTGATACACCTTTCTACAACAGTTTACTTGCATTCATATACAGCGTTTAATACAGCAGCAATGAATAAAAAAAGGGATGGGGAAGGGAATCACTGAAATGTTATACATTGGAGTATTTAACCAGGCAAGGCAAAGAGAATCTATGATGAGAAAAGGGGTTAAATGCCACTCCCAAACGGTTAGCTGCAATTTAGCATTCTGTTATATGAAGTATTAAAAAGTCACAGCAGTATTTTTTTTTCATTGAAGGGGTTGTAATAAATGTTAAGATGCTTATTTAAGCAGCAAAGGTTGTAACATGTCAGCAATCTCAGAGAAGAGCAAGAAAAGCGCAAAAATCCAATCCACATTATCTCTAACACCAAGCATGACTTACTTTTCTGCAGCATTTAGTACTTCTTTAAAGTTCTCCTCTACTCCCAACTTTTTCCCAAATACAGCTTACCATTTATTCATATTATTACACCTCGATCACATAACTTTTGTCTGAAACTGTATTTGCTCAGACTGAATAGCACTTACATAGCAATAATATTTCAAGCTCCTATATTAGAACCCCGCTGGAGAGTTTAGCAACAACTTTGTTTAGACTCTTCCTTCCTGAAGAGTGACTCACCACCTGCTGTTCTGAAAGTCACAGGCTGCTCATGATTGCAATCTCAGCAGAGTCAGAACCAGATCACAATTCCCAAGAACAACAGACTACACACATTAGCATCTCAGCGTATTTAACCACTATCAAAACAAGTCCCTGAACATCCATGGCAGGCATACTGCCCGAGAAACCGTACACTTTCACTGGCAAGAATTCCTCGTGATGCTGCTGTTACAGTTTCTGACTTTCTTTATTTGGAATTGCTTAAAAGTGTATCAACCCTGTATTTTCACACTGGCAGACAGGAATCTGTGGAAGTAATTTGCTAAACAAAGCCAGTAAGTTCAATTATTCCAGTTTAGACCAATTCCTTCCAGCAAATATATTGATTACAACTACTGAGAATACATACTTGATTCTCATGTTATTACATTGCTACATAGACCTTGTCTTTTGAAAAACAGGAAGTAACAAGCCGACTGCTCAGAACGCATGAAGCAGCCATCATTCTAGAGTTTTACACATTGACTTATTGTATCTCTATATATAGTATATGTACTATATATACACACATATATACTCAAACACCACCACTAAGCTTTGAGACAGCAGACACATAAGAATGTTAAAACTCATCTGTGACAACGGTGCCACAAAACTGTCAGTCTCAGTTCATGAGTTGAACTGGGAGTTCAAGAGTTAATGTTGATAAATAAATATTGAAGTAAAAATTTGGTAAACAAAAAAATATCTCCAGGGGCAGGTAATTTCCCTTTTCAGAAAATAACTGTAATCAGGAATGTGGCAAAAGAGTTATCTAAAAAGGGAATAATTTTTAACACCACAAACACTTGGTTTATGAAACCACACTGAGGCTGCAGTTGGTGACATTACTGTATTACACTGTCAACAATAACTAAGATCAGTTACCACTGAATAGTCACGTCTAGTTTTGTCTGAACAGACATAGCTATCAGCTGCCCTCCTTTATACAATACTTTGATAGTGATTATACACACACACACAAAATCCTATGCCTTTATTTTTTTGTAATTTAGCTAAATTAATTAATTGTAATTAATTGACACTTCACACAATCGATTTATCACCCATGTTTCCTTAGGAATAACTGGAACAGGAAACTAATTAACCTTCTGGATTCTTATATACACAACCATCCCTACTTTAAGGTGGCAAGTATCTTGAGATGTAACATAACATAGTACACACTCTCACAGATCATTAGTTCTGTATCAGAGTAACATTGAGAGTCAATCACAAGACCTTTGTGTATTAGCTAAGCTTTATGCAGACCCTGCTATGTCATCTAGAATCAGATCCACAAAGCCAGTTATGTACACATTCGGGTTTTTAAAGAAGGTTTAGATGTATTTTAACATCGGGTTATATATACATAAACAAAGAAGGCATTTTCTTTCAGAGATTTCCTATTTTCTATAAACCATAGAGCTAAAAACATGCAACAGCTTCTCACTCATATAAAAATATCTACTTCAACCAACAACACTTAACAGCAAGATCTTAGATCTTCTTTCACTTTCATAACAACAAATCATTGTACAGTCCTTGTGCTTATCAATAAATTGTTTCACAGATATTCCTTGGCAAATCTTGCTGTGACAGTTTATTATGGCATCAACTACCAGCCATCCATCCAGCCAAACCTTCTACTGGATATTTGCCCCCTTTTCAGTATTAGTAAATCAAGCAATGCATTTATTTTACTTTGAGCGCATGCTTGTATTTAGGCAACCATATCAAGCAGGAAACTCCCTGCCAATAAACAATTTGTCCATCATGAAAAGCAGACAAATGTCTCCAATGAATGATCTTTTTTCCAGAAAGGGAGATGCATAAAATCCCCATATCTAGCAAAGGACTGTTTCCTTTCCTCACATCTCAACCACAAACACGTAAATACTGTAGCAAATGCGATTCTGAAAGACTGGAACATCTTGCGCTGGTCTCACAAGTGACTTCTTACTGAACTGTCGTACTGAAAATTGAAAAACTGAACAGTGCTTCTTTCAGAATTTCTCAAAGTTCTATTACTTACCAATCACTTGTAGAAATTCAGTGTTGCTGATCTGTGAATCACTAATGCTAAAGGTCTCTTCTTGTCTCACCTCTCCTAGCAGAAATCCTTCCTACAATTTCAAGGGAGAAAAAAAAGACTAAAAATAGGAAAAAAACCCCACTATACAATCATTTATTGTAACTTTCTTAGCATTAAACAGAAGAACTGAAACAAAAATTTAGGTTGAAAGACACATCTGAGCTGCAGTAGGTATAACCTGTCCTTAGGTTTACCGAGGCTGATCTTCTGATTTACCAACATCCTTTCACAACACTACAGGAATAGGTTGTCCAAAAATAATATTTTACTGAAAGCTTCCGTAGGTAACGCACAACTTTTATAAAAGGCAAACACAGATTACATAAAGAAGCACTCCCAGCTACACAGGCACGGACGGGGTGGACGAGGAGGAGGCCTGAGCTCGGTGCACCGCACCACTGCTGCTCTGTTCCTTCAAAGCTAAGGGGAAGCGGAGTTTACATCTGCAGAAGCTTATTCAAATTTACACATGGAGATTGGGCTGGACCTTGAACAACACCAGGGATTGTAAAACTCGGGAGGTAACTTTAAGTCATCTTTTATTCTCCACCCCCGCCCAAAATGAGGAAGGAGAATAAGCGGGAATCAGGTGCTTTTGGCATAAGCACCGAAATGGCAGTGCACCGTTTCCTGCTGCGGAGATAAGGGAGCAAGCTCAGACTAGAAGTTTGTCAAGAGAACAGAGGGATTTAGAAACACCCCGGTTCTGCATGGTAACCAGGATTAGCTACCAGCGCTGGAAAGCCAGCGCTACTGCAACACGCACGCAAACACACGCAGCTTTTACAGACGCCCTTTCTGCCTACAGCCGGTTTCCTGCATGCCAC